GCAGGTATACAGTTGACTATTATAATATTTCACAGTGAGAATCCTGATAGGATTTAGAATTTGGTACGATCATTGTCATACGTTTATACGGGCTAAAATGCATTTCGAAGTTTATCTTTTACTCGTGGAGACGAGCTTAGATGTTGTTGACGCGTTAAAATTTGAGCGCTGGTTAACGAGTTGAGTAAATGTTAGTTTTTTAAATGGGGATTTTCAAAGTGAAATTACGAGCTTTTGAATAAACCCGAGTGTCGTTTGATGGCATTGAGCATAATTATAAGATCGTACGGAGCATTGAGTATCCTTTACGGAGTACTGGGCTTTTTAACCGTACTGACGTCATACGACAATTTCATGTGTTTACGTAAATGGAAAGAGTTATAATTGCAATTATTATTCTTACTCTCTTGCTCTCCCTCCCCCCCCTCTCTCTCTCTCTATCTTTCTCACAGGTACTCTTCCTTTTTTAATTCTGCTTACTCCCTCCTTGTGAAACATGCACTGTAATTGAGCTTCCCTCGTCTCTCCAACCGACACTTCTCAATCGTTGAAATATAATTTTAAACGTTAATTGCAACATCCTTTTTTTTCCACTTTTTTACTATTTCTTTAATTACTAGTTTTAATTTACTAGTTTTACCGTGAGTCAGCTACCGTCCGATTTTGCGAACTTCGGCTACACGGTGACCTGATTTCCTTGCACGGTTCTCAATATCATTTGCGCAGCTTTTCTTCTTAATCCTCGTGCGCGCGAGGGTGTTTAATAGGTAGGAAGGAAACATTTTTTTTTTTTTTTTTTTTAATATTCTGCTAAAGCCCAAAATACGTTTCTCTGTTAAAGCGCTGACGAGGATTACACTTTTCATGATTACCGTGAATCCGTCGTTGCCCCCGCGCGATCTCTTGGAAGCGCTGTAATTTATGCAAAAGTTCCTACTTGAGGTAAATGCAGAAATTATTAACGACGATAGGGGTTCATACGTTTAAGGACTATATTAAACTCGCGTGAGATCGTTGACTCTTTAGATATCCTGACGCTTCTTTCATTTTCATCTCTTGCTAATGGTTTCACGTGCACTTGGGTTTCATCAGGTAATACGAGAAACTGTTGTTACGGTTAATTAATTATAACTGGTTTACTGTACTTTTAGGCAAATTAGGTGGTGCCACGTTCGTCAAGCGTCATTTTGTCAACGACCAGATGCATTTTCAGTGTCGCATAATAAATGAGTAAACAAACCTTAAGCTTGCTGCTGCGAACGCGTTTGTTCATTATAATTACAGAAAACGAGTATATGACAGCGCAAAGTGACTGTTTGAGCAGAGTAAAAGAGTTTCAACGTTTGATCAATTCATTTTTATCTATATAAAAAAAAAAAAAAAAAATTTCTATTTAATTTTCTACCGACGAGAAACACTGGGTATACAGGCACGTGTATATGGATTTTTTTTCTTCGAGACGGGATTTCCTTTCTTTCTCTGCAAGGTCCCCTCATACTTCGAAATGTAAAAGTGTAATTACCACGTTTTAAACTTTTTTTTTCTCTTCCCTTCCAGCTTTTAAAATTCCCATTGTCCTGCAACTATTCGAGGGAACGACTCGTCCCGTTTTCTTGTATTGTGTAACCCTTTTGTTTTTTCGTCAAATTCTTCACTTCGCACGTGGGCGAATCTTTGCTCCCAGCATCCAATCAAACGAATCGTTTCTATTCCTTTACTGCCTGTGAAGATCCTAGTACGTTCTGTCCCTTTCGTTGGGCGGCTGCGTGAATATTTTAGTTTTGTCTCTCACGGTGATTCTCGGTCCTCGGAAATTCTCTATGAATATCGCGTACCCTGTGGACAGTTAAGGGACGCGCGCAAACCCTGTTATCGGTATCGTTTTCGAAATGGTGCTTTGTGATATGAAAACCGAAATCTCTACCGAATTGGTTCAGTTAACGAGCAAGTGCATCGCATGCGCACAGTATACCTGCATACGTGCACCAGTTAGATAACATTTGAACGCCAGAGGGATTAATAGAATATGGTTGAATATTAAAAGAAAGAATCAAGAGAATTTATCTCAATGGAGACTGAATGTAACCTTTGTTTCTATTTTAGGGAGAAAAGAGGACAAAAAATGTATTAAAAATGTATTCAACGCGAACAAAAGTGCAAAGTGAAAAAAAAAAAAGATTTTTATTTTTGATAAACTGTCGCTGACACGCATGTTACGATGTTTTGTATATTCCTCTTTGTATTTTTTTTTTTTTTCGTTACTCTCTTTTTTTATTTTCCTTATATTTTAATCTCGTATCCATACGGAGACCAACTACAATGACCGCTGTGCTAGATTTCTCGTATTTTTCTATGACGTATACAGTGCCCATCAGCATACTTCATTGTTATATTTTTATTTTCAAATATTTTTTTCTCAAGCGCCTCACGTCCGTCCTAATTACCATGAGCAGACAGAGTGCGTCGCGACGCTACTTTTCTTTGGAGTATCGGATGGCGTTTTTTCTTGCTCACTTTTTTCTTGGCTTGCCATGTTTTTTTTTTTTTTTTTTCCTATTTTTCAGACCAGACTACTTTCTTCTTTCTCTTGCCTTCGTTCGACAGCTTTTTTCTGTTGCCCTCTCGCCTTCTACGACCCACGTAATTTACCTTTAGAATACGTCGCTGAGCGAACGACGATGACAATGCCTGGATGGTTGTACGTTACGAAAAGAACGAGAGGTAAAAAAGCATGATTGTTAAAAAAGACCCTAAGGGACGTAATGAAAGCCGCAACGCAACTGTACAGATCTGTGGCCATTGATGTGTACTCGACCTGCCAGGTCCAGTTAGTGTTTCACAGCCTTCAATGAGTGGACGGTAATCGATCAATTTATATAGACGTACAACGTGCTACAAAGAAGCGAAAGAAGAGAATAGTGAATAGGAAACTTTTTGTGCTCGTTTCGTTGGCCTGGTGGCACGTGTTTTGTAATTATTAAAAATTTGCAAAATTTTTTTTCACGGCATCCAAAAAGTAAATTTTTTTTTAAATGCCAAACGCTCCTCACCCAATAGGGTCGTGCGATTTAATTATTGGAGATTAAATTGTTCTTAGACGTGTATATTGTCTTGCCGGGTCGCGAGTAATGCTTTTGGTAACGTCAAACGCAGGTCGGCCCCATCATCGGGGAATCCATAGGGAGTTAACGGTGGCAGCGTGTAACGCGTTGAAGGCATTAAATTTAATGGTGCCTTTACGAGAACCATTGTGTCCGCCATAGTGGCAAACACGTTTATCATCTTTCGTTAATTCAATTGCTCGTTCTTGCCTTCTTCATCCTTCTGGAGAACTTCCAGAAAGGAGAACGATGCTATTTTCATCCAGCATACCACTCGACCGTAACGAGGATAATAATACGGCTTCATTAGCAATTCCGCAATGGCAGCCCTGACTTTACCTGCCTTGCCACTTTTACGGGACTGACCTGCATTTCTCTTTGAAACTTTAGGAAATTGCCTGCTACTCTACTGGTAAGAGCGAGGGAGACATAGAAGAAGCTAGAGGGGGAGAGAGGGAGAAAGTAAAGTCACCTTCCTTGTGCGAGACTAGAGACGGAAGTGAAGAGGAAATCAACATTTAGGTTTCTTCGGGCTAATTAAGCAATTGAACCGCAGCCTTAATTGGTCGATTGATCGGTTCGTTAGGTACAATTAATTGATATACATACCCGCTCTTGTCAAAGACTGTTGTATTGTGTCGTCTGACGGTGGTTAATTTACTTGAAATTTCTCTAACTTAGCCACGTCAAAGAACATGCTATTTCGATCGTGGCTAGTACACGTGTTATTACTCCGCTATTTTTCAAACGTGGCTGCTTCCTTTACGAAAGTTGTTTGACAATTATTTTTGGTGTTCAATGTCACTTTAGCTCCTGTTGAAAAGATCTTCCACGCAGTCTACTCGTAAGTTTCTTACGAATTTTCGCAGTCCGCTTTTGGAAATAATTGGTACGTTTCCTCGTCCCGTGTTCATTTTCCTAATTACACGCCCACTTAATAGATATTATTTTCAGTCGACTAATTTTCACTCGAGAATATAATTACAATTTCATTATCAACGAAATACCCAGCGGGCAGAGTTGTTCTCTCTTTTTGTCTTATTCAAATATCGATTGCCCGAGGGGCCCATGGAAATATTCTATCTTTTCTCAGTCTTGTTTGTCTTACTTTCTCAGTAAACAGAAACAGCGCCCACTGTCTCGAGATTTTATTAATATTCCTATCCCATCCGATTGCGCGTTCTAATACTACAAATTGTTAAACACTAGAAACATCCAGTCCGCTATACAATCTACGTCCATAATTCAATCTAATCCCATGAGGATATCCGGAAAAGTTTCTTCCACAGAAATATCGACCAACCAACAAATCATGTATATAGAACCGATACTTCCGTGTCGAGGAAAAAGATTTTCAAGGAAGAGAAAAAAAAAGATAGGCATCGATAGAATTGTGTAGAGGGAAGCATAAAGAAGGAAAATAAAATATATAATACGTACAATAGAAAACTGCAGAGCTTATCGTAACAGCAGCAAGGGTTCAATCGAAGGATCTCCGACCACCAAATAAGAAAGTACATAGATAGGTTATGTACAGCCTCTGTCAGTAAAACCTTCGGTACAAATACCCAGCAGGACGTTTTAATCTTCCCTGGTTGGATTATTCTTTTTGTCCCTTACGTCTTCGCGTAGCAGTCCTTCCTATCAGATTCACCGTTTCAATCTCCGTCCGCAAGACACGCGACATTATTTGGCAGAGCAGCCGAGTCTGCTTTACCGTCGATCGGTATTACAGCGACCAGTAGGTATAATGGCGGCAAGCGTCCAGCGAACGTAACGGCTACACGTTACACTGATTGTGAAATATGTGGCGAGTGAAATCGTTCGTGCGCGAGTTACAGAGACATACCAAAGCGAATGGATGGTCACCAATTTTTTTGTATACGTATGTACATTTTCATCATACATAAATTTGCCAACAAAATTTAACCGTCGCTTCGAACGTCTTACAACGGCGTGTTCCTTTCACGCGCGATCCTATTGTGTGCTCGTTTCCATGAAAACTATTACCACAATGGAGACTTTGTCGATCCTGAAAAAATATGTTAAGTATATTCATACATCGATCTAAAAAAGCTTTTTAGGAGCAAAATCCACTTCTTGGCTTTATAACCAATTGAACTTTGGATCCTCCAGAGAAATACACAGGAGTGGATAGATACGCTCTAGGTAACTATGTAGGTAACTCGGGTGACACTACTGTTTTGCGGAAACTTGGGAAATGCGACCGAGTAAATTCAACAGCGGTAACCCCAACGAGCCATGAAAATCGACAATAACCATTCGAATAGTAAATTGTACTGCAATCCTCAGATACGCATGTGTATATGTATGTACATATATCTGTCGGGGTTAATTAGCATCTCACTCCGACAACACAGTAACCGTATATGTATCACTTTATCCAGCACGGTGTCATGATAGAGCAAGCAGCCAATAAGTCACCAGTTACCCAGAGAGAGTGCGCTGTTTCCTACCTAGTGAATCAAATAAGGATTGGTACGAGGGTATGCTGCGGGAAGTTAAAGCAAAGGATTTTAATTGAATTGATACATATTATATATATATATATATATATATATTTCTACATAGGAACTTGAACACCTAACGGATGTGGAAATGAGCAATGAGCTACCAATTGGGAATTGGGTAATTCATTGGTTCGCTATCGAACAGCTCCTACCTACTTCTTCGTATTACCTCTGATGGATGAATCTCGGGCAGGATCGAGCGGTTCACGTTGATTTGCCGCCATTCTACGTCGCTATAGTAAATTGAACCGGGATTTTTCACATGCCCCATCAGAAACACTCGTTTCCCTCTTCTCTCTAGGTACTTGTATCACGTAAATCCGGTGTCGAGAGTAAAAGTGACTGCTACTTGGAGCATCCCATTGTACTTTCGGAATAACAGATCAATTGTCGTTGTCATTTTACCTGCCAGAAGCATTCCTCGGGCTGTTACGTTTCGACGCATCCTCACGAACTGACTCTCGCGCAGTTTACGCCTAGCTGAGGCGTGGAGAAAGAGATAAATAAACAGAGTGCATGTCGACACGTCAACTGGGAAATTTTGAACCCGTGACTGTTCGTCAACGAGGTAGAAGCTTCATCGGAAATGGTAAAAAAAAAAATCGTGCGAAACGAAGCGACAGGGTGAATAAAAGAGAGACGAAGACTCGAGTACGAATAAAGTATAACAATTTATTCATGCCATTCAATTTGAATCGACTATGGTTTCCGCGCTATTGGATGTTATTTTATTCGTGACATTTTTTCGTGAAATCAAGGCACTGTTTACATCGAACGAAATATCATTATTTTTCTTATACAGAGTTATTCGGTAGAAATGAACCCCCTGAAGTTAGCGCGCCCATTTGAGTCTTATGGTAAAATCATGTTCAGACGGTGCGTTTGGGTTGAATAACCTGATGTGTATATATACATATGTGTTCACCGTGATGCTTTAAACTTTCCGCTTCCAGCTTGAGAAGATTCACTTCGAAATGGATGTACTGAAGAATTTTTACAATTTTTCATAAATTATTAAAAAGAAATTAAGCTTTTTTATTTTCACTAAATGCAGGTCAATGGACTTTTAAGGATGAAAAATGTATGGCCCGGATGCATTTCGCTGAATAATTCACATAGAAAAACGCTAGAGATTTTTTTACTAATCATATTTCATCCCTAGTAGAAATTCCATTGTGTGGGTCGGGGGCCCGTCGAAGTCCTAGCTAGTCGGGGGGTACCAACACGGCCCTGAACTTGCCAAATGAAATTTCTGCTGTGAATGAATTTAGGAAATATTAATTTTTCGATTAATACTATGGACATTTAAGGTTCCCGAAATGATAAGAGTATAATTATGATCCGATTTAGAGGTTTATGCAAACTGATTTTGAACTTTCTGTTATTGTGAACGTCAACCAACGTCTGCCAACGTCGTAGTGAAATAGCTGTTTGCGATTGAACATCATTTAAGGTTAATTATTGACCCTTTGCACTCGACATGCCCCCATTATCTATGTTTTTTGGCACCTGAGAGGCGACCGTCCAGTGAAAAGGATTAATATTCAATGATAAATTCTTAATTTATTCGATGATAAATTTAAGGATATTTTTAGCTACGGTGTAGTAAACATGTAAACATGTCACCCGTGCAATCAGCTAAATGTCCATGCAATTCTGTAAGTTTCATATTATAATTTGTTAAACCTTTGAAAAATACAAATACATATTTCATATACAGTTTTTATTTCCCGTAAAAATGTCTGTAACATCACGAAATAAATTATCTTACTTTCGAGAAATATTTTGTATTTCCAATGACTAACGGGGTATTAGGATCTGTTTAAATAATTCCGTATTATATATTAGCAAGCTTAAAATGTACAGTCATGTTAAAACCGGGAAAATTTTTATAATCGACACGGAATTTGTAAAGCTTGCCTAAGCCGGCTCTATCGCTAGACAGTGATTAATAGCTTCGGTTATAATTAAGTATCGGTTAAATATTTTACGTACCCAGCTGTACTATCAGGAGCAACAGTATCAATCATCGCTGGGACCATCCTCGGAGATCGACCGTAGCGCCGCCACTGGAATATCCAGCCAATTAAACAAAAACCTTTTGATCCAATGGGTCAGTGTGACAGGTATCTGGCTGACGCAATTAGAGTTAGTTGCCTTGGCAATTAAGTGTCCATTAAATAGCGTTTGCTTCGTGCAAACTTCATATTGAAGCGAGGGGGTTAGTTTCTCCAATAAAATATGAAACCGAATCAGGACTTTACTTTGATAAGCAATCGTGCTTACCGAAGCGGAATGTGGTTGGTTACCTCTAGCTGGAAACTCTCTATGATGCGATGGAGTTTGCGATGGAGATTACTCTAATCGTACGATCGATCAGATCAGGTCAGGTCGAACCAGATCAAGGGATTCAATGAGTGAGTCCGTCAACAATACAGGGGTCGTGATGGAGATTGTGGTTGTACTAGAATATCACCCTTTATGTTTTGGTGTATATATATTTGAAAGGGGATAAAAAGAAATTTTCGGTTGAGATACCCACCGTGGCTATATTATATATAGGTCATGAGATAGTAGTTCGAATTAAGGGATGCCAAATGCATGGGTACGGATAAGGGTAGTTTGACGAAAGGCCAGTTAGCCGGATAGGTAGGCAGGTGTAGCGAGAAATACAAGCATTTTGCGAATCCAATCGGGTGTTGCAGGGTGCGGCTAAGGAGTGACCGGGTGGGAAGGGGGGG